TTTTTTTGGCCGATATACAATATGCCGATATGTTAAAACTTATTTGGCCGATAACCGATACAGATTCCTTTGTCAGAACATATTCCTCTTATTTAGGCTTATTTGCTTCAAAAATTGTGCAACAGCTGTAAGAGCTGGTGACATATATTCAGTAACAGCTGTATGATATCATAGCACTTTAACTTATATGAAATGAAAAGTGTTAAATGTTATTTATTAGCATTAGTCACCTGCGATGCTGTCTCACTTGTGGAGGCTTGTTCCAGGTTCAGCTGCAGTGTGGGATCCTCTGCACTCCTGTGCATGAAGGACAGACTTTTTTAAGTTCAAAGTTTTTGTCTTATCCATTGTGCCGTAAGACTAATCATGCTAACGGGGCTAACACGACGTCCAGATGTCTGTGGTAAAACTCGCCCAACAAGTCGTGCAATCGGCTGTTAGCTTCTCAATGACCTCGGAAATCAGGGCCTGTAACTCTGGTAACGTTACGTCAGAAAAATATCTCCGACTGGGGACGATGTAGCGAGGCTCAACGTAGTCCATAAACCTTCGGAATCCGACATCCTCACCAACGAAAAATAAAACTTCCACACCGCCGACGTTTTGAATTTTCCTCTCCGCCGTGAGATCAGGTAGGCGCACGTGACGTCATCGCGTTGTGCTGCCGCTGCGGGCAAAAACAGCGCCTTTTATATCGGCGAGTTATTTTAATGGAATGTCCGATATTGAACTTTAACGCTAATATCGACCGATACCGTGCCGATAATATCGTGCATCCCTAATAATTTAGCAGAATAACTTTGCATTCAGCAGCAAAAAATAGCATCATTTATTTAATTTGTTGCACAATACCTTTAAAAGGTGATGAACTTTTAAAAATCCATCCTCACAGCTGCTTAGAATCATTAACTGCTGAATATTCATACAAAATGTAAAAATAAACCCAAAGGGCTGTCAGTAGTTTATCAAACACTATCAAACTGTGTTTTGATTTTATATTTGACGTCCTGCGCACACTGGGAGCACAAACACTACCACTGTTCTGTGGTGATTATGACTGACGACTAACAGGCGTCTCGTGTTCTTTGTTTTTCCTACTGTAATGGTTGATGGTTGATGCGATGTGGCTCAGTGGTCAGTGAAGACGGTGAGTATGTGCGTGTCAGACACAGCAGTTTAGCTAACAGCGTGTGTGTCCTCCTCACCACATAGTGTCTGCTTCACAGCACAAAGCTGGTAGGAATGCTAAAGTTAGCTCCTGTTAGTTTCCCTGTTGTCTGTCAAACATGAACCTGCTAATGTCTTAATTTGAAGTTAATTTGACTACGACACCTTCCAGCTGGTTTGAGCCGCCTGTTTTTGAGACAAATGGAGGCACGGACCATGTTGAACAGCAGCTGCTCTTTAGATTTGATTTAACTGGAGATGCACAGAAATATCAGTCTAACATGGAGACTGACAGATTTTCACTCTGTTGACTGCAAACTGCTTTTCTGACATTAGAGGGAACTACGTATGCAGATGATGGGATCGATTATTTGCTAAATCCTGTCTTTGACTTTGTGGTGTTTTTATGCTGTGTGTGGTCCCCCAGGCACCGTCTCTGGAGGATTTCAGCCACTTACCACCTGAGCAGAGGAGGAAGAAACTGCAGCAGAAGATCGATGAACTCAACAAGGAGCTCCAGAAAGAAACGGATCAGAGGTGAGGCCGTCGGGAGTTCTAAATCAGTTTTACATGCGTGTAGAGATGCAAAGAGCAGAGTGGCACTTCATCTGAGAATATTTGTGTGTTTCTGTCAGGGACGCTTTGAATAAGATGAAGGATGTGTACGAGAAGAATTCTCAGATGGGCGACCCCAACAGCCTGCAGCCGAAGATTTCTGAAACCATGTCTAACATCCAGAGGCTGCGCTCCGAAATCCACCGAAATGAGGTCCAGGAGGAATCTAGGCCCAGCACCGCATTTTTATTTAAGATTATGTAATCAGAGTGTTTCTCTTAAATTGTTGTTGTGTTGACAGAGCTGGCTGTCTGAAGTGGAGGGAAAGCAGAGCTCCAGAGGAGACAGGAGACACAGCACAGACAACCATCAACAAACTCCTCACGGCAGAGAGAGGTAAACTTTCCTTCCTCTTAGATTAACACGCAAATATAAACTGTTATTTTTTTTAGTTTGATTCAACTTTATTAAAGCTTGATCTTTTTACAGACACTTTCCTAAAAAGAGATTGTGCTGAAAATAGAAACTATCTGCTCCACCATCATCATCATCATCATCAACCTTGCGTTCATGATGTAAGGTTGATGACAGATGATCAGTTTGAGGTTTTATGTTTGTTTGCAGCTAGTCCAATGAAGCGGCTCCTTAAGTGAAGGTCAGGGTCCCACTGTGGATCACAAAGTCCTAACTGAGAGTCCAGTACTTAAATGCAAATCAAAAGTAAATCATATTAACTTGTTTTGTATGAATGGGTAAATGAGGACACAGATTGTAGAGTAAAGTGCTTTGAGTGTCTTGATCAGATAGAAAGGCGCTATATAAGTACAGTCCATTTACAATTCAACCTGTGATAGTTGGAGTCACGAGTCTCCTCCACTGTTGTTTTGTGTCTGACTAGTTCAAATGTTTGTGATTAATTCAATTTCAATTCAGTTTATTTCTATAGCGCCAAGTCACAACGAAAGTCGTCTCAGGGCACTGAACAGAAACATTCATATATAAAAATAATAATTTAACATTATTTATCTGAGGAGCAGACTGCTTTGAGTTTAACTTCATCGCAGAACTCTCATTTTGAGCAAAGCATGAAGGCGACCGTGGAAAGGAAAAACTCCCTCATGAGGTATAAACCTTTAGCAGAACCAGGCTCAGGACAAGCGGCCATCTGCTTCAACAGGCTGGGTTTGGTAGGAACAGATACACAATGGCAGGTCAAGAACCACATGTTAAGATAGAAATAATATCAAATGAAAATGATTCAGTTTTAGCAAATCGTTTAAGGAAATTAGGTCAATTTGACCTCTAGTAGTCTAAGCTTAAGGCAGAATAACAAGCCAACCCTAACTATAGGATTTATCAAAAAGGAAAGTCTTAATCCCAGTCTTAAACTGGACAATGTGTTGGGCAGTAACTGGAAGTTGGTTCCCCAAGAGAAGAGCCTGATAACTGAAAGATCTTCCTCCCATTCTGCTTTTGGAAACTCTAGGAACCACGAGTAAGCCTGCAGTCTGAGAGCGAAGTGCTCTGTTGGGAAAATATGGAACAATAAGATCTTGAATATAAGATCGAGCTAGGATGTTGAGGGCTTTGTAGGTTAGAAGTAAGATTGTGAATGGGGAGTGGTGGCGCAGAGGTTGGAGAAGATGGACCTGTGATCAGAAAGTCGCAGGTTAAACTCCTGGTACCGTCAACATCAAAATGTGGGTGGAAAAGGTGAAACACCCACACCTGTCTCCACCCTCATTTGCCCCACTCTGGGCCTCTGAGCAAGGCCCTTAACCCCGACCATTTGCTCCCAAATAAACAGGTCTCTCTTGAAAATGAGTTCTCATGACTCAATGAGACTACCTGTGTAAATAAAGTGTAAATGAAAAGAAAACGATGAATTCAATTCTGGATTTGACAGGGAGCCAGTGGAGAGAAGCTAAAACTGGAGAAATATAATCTCTCCTACTAACTCCAGTTAAGACTCTGGCAGCAGCATTTTGGATCATCTGAAGACTTTAAAGAAGTATTTGGACACCCAGATAACAAACCATTGCATTAACTAACTCCATCTTGTGGATAGCTACATTAATGTATTCTCATTAGGAATAATGGTCTTCCTCTTACAAATGATGAAGACATGAGATTTATTTTTATTCTAAGATCTCCAGCCAGTTCATCATCTTTATGTTTTTCTTTTTCTGAGAGCTATTGTGTGCATCTGTTAGAAATAATGTCTCAGCATTCTTTATGATCAGCACATGTTTTGTCTGTATTTTGTCAGTGCATTGAAGCAAACAGCACTGCTGTATTTTAATAAAACACACAAAGCTCTCGCCTGTGTCCCTTCAGTCCTGAGGGCAGTTACACAGACGACACCAGCCAGGAGCATCACACGCCTCTCCACCATCCCAGCCCTGCTCATTCGGGACATCCAAACCACGACCCTCAAGAGTTTGACGACGAATTTGATGACGACGACCCACTGCCTGTTATCGGACACTGCAAAGCGATGTACTCGTTTGATGGTAAGAACTAACAAAATAAGAGTGTACAGAGTCACGTCGGAGCAACACTTTGGTTTTGCCTGTGTGTATTGAGTTCCAGACAGAGGTAATTAGCAGGTGTGTGTCCAGGCTGTAATTACACAAAAATAGATGCACACATATCTGCATCGGTTCGAGAGTTGAGTCAACATTGAGGCTATTTTTGTTTGACTCATAGGGAAGGATGAGGGGACACTGATGATGGCGGAGAATGAGGTAATGCTTCTTCTTCCAGAACTCACAAACAATGGTGCCACCACATGGTGATGTGTGAACTACATGCATGACTAAATGTTTTCATGGACAAGTCTAGACAAAATATACCATTAAAATAACATTTACTGCATTGACTACAGATTTAGTGAAGGATGCTAAGTAGTTGCACATATCACACACTTTTTTATTTTACATTTTTAGTTGATGTGTCAGAAAACGTGCTACAAGGTAGACACAAAAATTTTAAAAGTCAAAATTATGTAGATTGATTAACATATAACAATGTCATTAAAACCTTTTCTTTTTTTTTAACATTTGTTTTGAGTTTTTAGCCAAGACATTTTAAGTTAATTTTGCTGAACTTCATATAAATCATGTTTGGATAACTGTGTCATCTTCCTATGTAAATCCAGAACACCTAATCAGTCCCTCCAGGTTTTCATGCACCTTTTTGTGATTGTTGTGGCCTAAAATGACAGATTTTTCAAAAAGTTCTCATCAAAGCTGCAGTGTTTTGAAGCTTGACTTGACTTGCATGAATTTTACTATAAATATTTGATGATAAATTTGATCGTCTGACATCGGGCATGTTTTTTTTAATCTTACAGGCTCATCCAGGCTTAGATTTCAGGAAGTGAAACCCAGTGAGGATCTGAGATGATTGATCAGATTTACAGAAAAGTTGCAGTGATTGGTCAAAATTGCAACTCGGAGCAATATTTGATTTTTTTTTTAAATTTGCCTTAATAGTTGCAATCACAACATTGCATCCACCTGGAGGGACTGCTGAATCAGGATATGCTAACAAAAAAGACAGAAGCTGTCAGCTTTGGATGTTGCAGCCAAGCTTTCACACATTTGATTTATTGACTTGAACTCACCTGATTTTGAAAATTTCCCCTGAACTTCCCCTCATTAAATATGTCATTGTTATTTTTTATATTGTGTGTTTCCATCATATCTGAATTTTATAAACTCGCCTTCTGATGTGCACTCATTTGGTCTCTCCCATCAGGTTCTGTACATCATCGAGGAGGATAAAGGGGATGGCTGGACGCGGGCCAGGAAGCAGAGCGGGGAGGAAGGCTACATTCCCACCTCCTACATAGAAATCACGATAGAGAGACACAGTAAAGGTGCCGTCACCTACATCTGAAGCTTCACTGTGATCTGTCTGTGTTTCCTCTCACTGTAACACCACCGAGACTAAAACAAACATCATCTTCTGCATGGACGTCTGTCATCCACTCGCCTGCTCTGGTTTCCATCCCATCTCTTTCCCTCTCTGTCTTTTATTAATTGTCCTCATATTTATGGGACTGATATCTTAAGAGGTGAGTGCATGGGACAAACGGGAGAAATCTGTTTGTATTGTTGTGTTTGTGTTTCACTGCTGTTTGAGCCCCACTTCTGATCGATCAATGCATTTTAAATAGTTTTGTATAATATTTTAGAACCAGTTCATTTTGGTTTTATTGAGTCTTGAACTTGTTTTTTCTGACAGGTGATCAAACTCCCTGATTTTAAACTCGTGTTCGTGTTGGCATCATTTGAAGTGAAAGATGTTCTCATTTTATCTGTCTTTATTTGTGTTTGCATTGTGTCAGAGTGTGTGTGATCATGCACTTCGGATTTATTTGTGCCATCACACAATTTTTAATTTTAATTGTTTTATGTCACTTACAATTGAGACTGTTTATTGGGCAACACTGGCATAATTTTGTGTTTTGTATTTTTTTATTGCCAACAATTCCCACAAAGACCATAAACTTACCAGTTTCTTTTAAGCTTTTGAATTAAACACATTTCTATTTAAATAGTTATTAGTAATTATTTTTTTTACATCTAAGGTAAGAAAATCCAGATTTATTCCAACACATTTTATCTATGAATAGACAAAAACCTGCCTTCTGACACGGTCTTGTGTAGTTGTAATTTATTTTTTCCAAACACAAAGCTGCCACCCATTTTAAAGATGTAAACACGTTTGATTATTTTAGTACAAATAAAAAAAATAAAACTGGGTTTTTGACTATTTTTGATTCAACAGACTGATTTTCTCTTCATATTTTATAAACTGACAATCTTGTGAGAAGAGAACATCTACTGATACATTTCATGTTCCACATTCTTGTCTCCAAACCCAAGGGAGACGACGCTTGTTATCTGTCTGTCTAGCTCTCTCTCTCTCTCCCTCTATATATTTATATATATGTATATGTATAAATATATATGTATATATATATATATATATATATATATATATATATATATATATATATATATATATAT